CCAAACTTCCCATCCTGTATTTGTGAAGAGAGCTAATTGGCAGATAAATGTACATAAATTGGAATTAAAAGTGTTCTTCTCATCCTCATTTGTGACAGACCACATGAAACCATATCGGTAATGAAACTTCCTGGGTCATTTACTTACAGGGCTTTTGTGTAAGAATTAAGGGTCAAAGGCTGAACTTCTGGTAGGCCCATTTTTCGCCCTTCCCGAGCCTCCACGTGTGCCCTGCACTTATCTCCACCCAAAACGGGCCATGTGGGGACTCTGGGGAGAGGCGGAGTGGGGTGGGCAGGGCCAGACAGGAATGGGATTTGGGGGTTCTCCGAACTGCACAGAATCTTAGCTAGAGGTTCTCCTAAACCCCTGCAAAACCCCAGCAGTCCACCCCTTAAAATGATATATATGCTGCCAAGAAGCACCTTGATGGAAGGATGTTAATGGCCTTAACAAGGGCTCAGAGATATGAGGCAAGCTTCTATCTGTTTTCTTTACAGATAGTGTCTCATCAGATAAGTGATGGGATGGGAAAACAGAGGAGTCTTACAGCTAAGAACTGATACCTGCTGGCTTAACTTGGAAAATGTGTCATTCTAGAATTTGGGCTTTCTGTACCTTTCACAGCAATGAGGAAAGCCTTCAGCTCTTTGTAGAGTTTTTGCCCTTCAATCTGGGGGGGAAAGAAAGGGAAGTTGTACTTCTAGTATACTTCTGCATGTCATTCCTATCAGAATACTGTTCCTGGACTTCCGTCATTTCCAGGTCTGTAAACTTCACTCCCAGAATTACCCATTCAGCATGGACAATGTTGAAAATTCTAGGAATTGAAGGTTATACTTCTGGAAGCTGGCAAATTTGGGCAATATTGTATTAGAGTTTTTATAGGAAACCCCCCCCCAAAAAGTTCTTACAATCCAGGAACTTACAGAGAAGAGGTCTCTGCCAAATATGTTTTACTGTATTACCATAAACTTGGCATCCCACATATTTATAGACAAAGCATCATCATGATGCTTTCACAGCAGCTTAGTTTCAGGTTGAGCTTGTATAAAAACATTTTGAGAATCTTAAACAAAACCTGGTATAGAGACATTTCAGATTCTGGCATACCAAAAGTGCTAGGTAAACCTGACCTAAGCTTGTATATCCACCACCACCACCCCAATTTCCAGAAAATGCTCCCACAGTTCCATCGTACAACCTGCTGCTGCTGGAAATTATAGGCACTTTGTTCAAATTGTTCGTCTTTTGTTTCCACGGTTTTCCCCAGTTTCTGTAGAACCTATGGAAGAGACAGAGAAAGAAAAGAGAACTGCAGCAGTTATTGTATATCTTGTCCTTCACCTATTCAGTGAGTTGACCACAACCTTGTTTTTAGAGACATGCATCTATGGAGTGGTGCATTTGTTTCCATTAATGGCACTGCATTGAAAGAATTGTGTCAAGTTCTGCTTCTAGCAAAAAGCCCCCAACCATTAGTCTTTCCATGAGAAAGGGTGAAGTAATATCAGCTGTCCCACACATCTTTGTATTCAGGCATATAAACATACAGTAACTTTAAACCCAACAGGAATCCTATATAGATCCTCCAAATTTTCTATGTGATATGGAGGAGATGGCAGAGTCTCTTTCTTAAAGGTGCTAAATTTGAGTTGAGAAACCCCAGCTAACCAGGAGAGGGCAGCAAAGAGATATAGGAGCTGCCAGGCTAGAAGCTTTTAGAAATCATTTGCACCCCACTCTACTCTTTTGCATGCATTTATTTTCCATGTGAAACGAAGTGTCCCCCTCCATTACAGATGTGCGATGAAGCTTGTTAGAATAACCACGATGCCCAGCTGTCAGTTCCCATGAATAGCCTACATGACTTCAGCACTCTTTCTTTTTTAGATATTTGTACCACATGGAGGATATGATAAGAAGTATGGAATGAGTAGGTAGAGCCCTGCCTTCTCTTGGTTTGTCCATGCAACCTTCCTTATACTGTATTCAAATTAACTCAAAAAAAGATTAGCACCACTTTTTTAAAAAAGTAAAATGAACTGATCTTTGATGTTAAAACATATGGATAGGCCTATAATCCAAAGAGTGTAATGCCAGGTATATTTAACTGGGATCTTATCATCTGGCAATAATACAAACTCCCAGGCTTTTTTTTAATCTACCAAAAGAGTAACTCTTGTTTACATAAAAGGGGAGTGCTAGCAGATAATCACTAGATGGCAATACAAGGGATTTCTGTAACTTTTCGTGGCTATCTTTTAGTCATCTGCATTTTGGCAGCCCAGATCTGATAACCCTAAAATAGATACTGTCTTGACATACGGATGAAAAACTACAAGCATCTCTCTGTATCATAGATTAGGCCATACCCATCCAGCAACCGGGCAGAGAACCCATTGCTGAAATTTTTGAAGTCCACCGCTGGGATAAACCACTCTGAAACAGAATAAGGCAAATCTCTATATCTTCCTTGAGGTTTTGCTGTTCTGCCTTGATGGACTTCTTCATGCCACTTTCATTTTTAATGCAAGAGTTAAATGGTCCTTTGATAAAACGGTAGTCACTGACAAAGTGAAGTACATCAAGAGAAGTGGTTCAGTTTGGCCTAATCT